TTAAATTTAAACCCCAAACAAAAAAAAAACCCTTAAAAAGGTTTATTTCACCTTAAATTAAAACCTGGTAAAATTTTTTGGTTTAAAATAATTTAAAAATTTGTTTTTTCCTTATTTTGAGTCACTAGGGGTTTCCCAAATCCTTTTTAAAGGTTTTTCTTCCCCCCAAGGAGAACAAAACACTTTCCCCCCTACAGTTTTAAAAAACACAAATTTTTCAAGGGGAATCTACCAACCAATTGCTTTTTCCCCCAACCCCCAAAAAACTTTTTTTAAAAAATCAAGGAAAAAAATGGAGGATTTTCCCAATTTTTCCAAAAATCAAAACCCTTTTTCCCAAAAAAAAGTGATAAAGGGGGAAATTAAGGGAGATTAAAAGGGGACTAACCCCGAACTTTAAAGGGGAAAAACCTTAGTTGAAAAAAAAAATAAAATTTTAACATTCTTGGCTTTTTTGAATAAATTCAAAAAGGGGAAATTAAAAAAAACATCATCCTTCTAAATAATGCCCCCAAAAAGGAAATTCAAAAAATTTTCCCCCCCCCAAAACTAAAAAAATAATTTTTTGTGGGGAATTCGGGAAACCCCAAAAGGTTTTAAAACCCCCCCAAAAAGTGGGCAAATTAATTGGGGACATTAAAAATCCGGCCAAAAAAAAATTTTTGGGAAAAAGGGGCCAAAATATCATATCGCAAAAAGGGGTTTCAAAAAAATAAAGGGTTAAAAACTTTCCCCCAAAAAGGGGTTAAAGGGAGAAAAAAATTGTTTACTGGGACAGCTTTAATTTGCATTGGGGAACTAAAAAAAAACCCAAAAAAATAACCTTCCCCCAAAATTTAAAATGGGAAAAAGTATTCATTTGAATAAAAGGGATCAAAAACCACTTAACACACCCCAAACCCCCAAACATTTAAAAAAACAAAAAAACATCAAAAAAACCCCAAGGGAACAACTTGGGGAAAAAAAGAGACCATTTATTTTTTTAATAAAGAATGGGAAAAAAGGAAAGATATAGGAAAAAAAAAAAATTAAAACTTAAAAAACTTTTTTCAGGGACAAATTAATTGGGGAAAAACAAAATTATAAAATAGCCCCGGGGGCCCCAAAATTAAAATATGGGTTGGATGGGAAATCTGAAAAATTCCCCAATAAGGGATTCATAAAACCCAAGAAAGGCCCCCGGAGCCAAAGGGAATGGTTTGAGGAATAATTTTAATTTCTTAAAAGTCAGGTTTGAAGGGAAAAAAATTTGAAAACTTTCAAGGGTTTAAATTTTAAGGTTTAATAGCAGAGAACTTGGAAAATTAGAAAAATGAGGTTGTAAAAAAAATTTAAGGGGGGGTTTCCCCAAGGGGAAAAAAATTGGGGAAGACCCCAAAACAAAGGTCCCTTTTTTTTCCCAAAAAAAAAAAAAAAAAAAAAAAAAAAAAAAAAAAAAAAAAAAAAAAAAAACATTAAGGGACACATTAAAAATGCTCTGTTCCTGTAATTAAAATATGATTGATAGATATAGTCTGAAAAAATCAAATAGGGATCAATATCGCATAAATGGACGTTAAGGAGCCAAAAGAATGGAGAGGATTAAGTTACTACTTCACCAGTCAGTGTTGAGGAAGTAGATCAATCTGTACAAGTTACATGCACAGCTTTAATAGCATTGTAGAACTATGAAGTCATAAATACTGACCGTTCGTAACTATGAGGTGGGATCAAGAGCTAGGATTCGATCTATGCAATCACAGCAAGGTAATCACACACACACACACACACACACACACACACACACACACACACACACACACACACACACACACACACACACACATACACACACACACACATAGTAGGTACAATTCAGTCTGGGGAACATAAAGTAGTCATCGGAGTGATGTATAACCCACCACAGAACTGCAGGAGGCCAAGAGAGGAGTACGAAGAAAACAACAGAGCGATGGTGGACACACTGGCTGACGTGGCAAGAAGAGCTCAATCGAGCAGAGCAAAGTTACTAGTTATGGGCGATTTCAACCACAGGGAGATCGACTGGGAAAACCTGGAGCCACATGGGGGTCCCGAAACATGGAGAGCCACGATGATGGATATGGTACTGGAAAACCTCATGCATCAACATGTCAAGCACACTACCAGAGAGCAGTTCAGACATAGAGGACATCACTTACGAAAGGCCCCTTGGAGCTAGTGACCACGTGGTTCTGAGTTTTGAATATATTGTAGAGTTACAAGTGGAGAGAGTAACAGGAATTGAATGGGAAAAGCCAAACTATAGAAGAGGGACTACACAGGTATGAGGAACTTTCTGCAGGAGGTTCAGTGAGACAGAGAACTGGTCGGAAAGTTAGTAAACGAGATGATGGAATATGTAACAACAAAATGCAAGGAGACAGAGGAAAGGTTTGTTCCCAAGGGCAATAGAAATAATGGGAAGACCAAAGCGAGTCCTTGGTTTACCCGAAGGTGTAGGAAGGCAAAAACTAAGTGCAACAGAGACTGGAAAAGGTACAGGAGGCAAAGGACCCAGGAAAATAAAGAGATTAGTCGAAGAGCCAGAAACGAGTATGCACAGGTACGGAGGGAGGCCCAGCGACAGTACGAAAACGACATAGCATCGAAAGTCAAGTCTGACCCGAAACTGCTGTATAGCCACACTAGGAGGAAGACAACAGTCAAAGACCAGGTGATCAGGCTGAGGAAAGAAGGTGGGGAACTCACAAGAAACGATCAAGAGGTATGTGAGGAGCTCAACATGAGATTTAGGGAAGTATTTACAGTGGAGACAGGAAGGCCTCTGGGAGGATTTGAACAGGGGGGGACCCAGAAAAGGAATATACCAACAAGTGCGGGATGAGGGACAAAAAACGGGGAGGAGGTGAAAAAGCGTTTGGGGGAAACTTTGATACATCAAAGGCGAGGGGAACCCGACATCCCCCCCGGGGGCCCTTATAGGGGGGCCGGATTTTCTGTTGTGCCACTAGCAACAATCTTCAACAATCCCTTGAAACTGGAAATTTACCTGAAGAAAGGGAAAGACGGCAAATGTATTTCCCTTTTTTTAAAAAAGGAACAGAAAAGAGGCACTAAATATAGACCAGGTCACTGACTGTAAAGAAAGAAAAGTCAGGGAGAAAAATTAAATAAAGGAGGAAAGTGGGGGAAGAAACCAGAGCGGAACAAAATTATAAACGAAAAACCAGCAGGGTTTTAGGGAAGGCAAACCCTGGGGCCCACAAACCTTTTTGGAGTTTTATGGTGAAGTAACAAAGTAAAAACCGAGAGAGAGGGGGGTTGATTGCATCTTTTTGGACTGCAAGAAGGCCTTTAAACACAGCTCCTCACGACAAAATAGTGCAAAAGCTAGGGGATCGGCGCGTATAACGAAAGGGCCCACTGCAATGGACCCAAAAGAATACCTACAGGGAGGAAAACAACAAAGTCATGGACTAAATGGGGTATCACAGGGGGCACCTGTGACGAGGGGGGCCCCCATAGGGGGTCGGTCCTAGGACCAGTGCTATTTTTTGGTATATGTGAATGACTTTGAGGGAAAGGGGTTAGACCAAAAGTGTCCCTTTTTCGCAGAGGTGTAATTTTAATGGGGGAATTTAAAAATCAGATGAGGATCAGACAGGGCTTCAAAAAAGCCCCGGACAGACTGGACCCTGGGCCAGCAAATGGCTTCTCGAATTTAAAACCCCGGGCCCAAAAGCAAAGTCATGGGGGGGGGGGGGGAAAACGGGGGAAAGGGCACAGAAACGCAGACGGGTAGGCAAGGGGAAACCCAAAAACTGCAAAAACCCCGCTTCCCAAAGGGGAAATATCTTGGGGCGGGGTATAACACCGAGCACGTCCCCCAAAGCACACATCAACCGATAACTGCTGCAGCATATGGGGGGCCTGGCCAAAAACCCGAGAACAGCGTTCCCATAACTTTCCCCGGAGGGTTTCCTGGGGGTTATTCCCCGGGATCCCAAAGCACCCCGGGGCCCGGGTCCATACCAAATTTTTCCCGATGGGATCCGGGTTGATCAACTAGGCTGTTTTCTGCTGGCCGCACGCAGTCCAACGTACAGCCACAGCCCGGGTGATCCGGGGACGACTTTAAGTTAAACTGTAAGACACTGTACATCGTGTTTCTTCCCGGCCCCTACTGGGGGTATGCCCGGGACCTGTTTGGAACCCCCACTTTATCAAAACACGTCAAGAAATTAGGGGAAAGGGGCAATGGTTTGGGGACCCAAAGGGTTTTACCAGTGCTAAGGGGAAAGCCCCATGAAGAAAGGTTAAGGGAAATCGGCCCCACGGGCACTTGGGGAGCAGGGGGTTAGGGGAACATGATAACGAACCCTACAAAAAACTGCGTGGGGAATTTGACAAGGGGAGGGCAGAGGGCAGGATGTTTTCCCGAGAGGGACACAGGAAAAAAAAGGGTCCCCAATTGGGGTTGAAGACCCAGTGAGTCAAAAGAAGTTAGGAAGTAAATTTTTTTAGTCCAGAGTAATCGGAAAATAAAAGCCTAGCAAGTGAGGTAGTGGAGGCAGGAACCATACATAGCTTTAAGATGAGGTATGATTAAAGCTCATGGAGCAGGGAGAAAGGGACCTAGTAGCACTCTGAAGAGGTGGGACCAGGAGCCGAGTCTCTACCCCCAAACCACAATTAATTCACACACACATTATGATATATATATAATTATATATAGTATAAAATAGTATATATATATATATATATATATATATAATATATATATATATTATATATTATATATATATATATATAATATATAATATATATATATAATATATATATATAATAATATATATATATATATATTAATATATATATATATAATTTTACTTCTATTATTATTATTACACTGATAACTCCAAGCTAAGACTAGTACATAGGAATTGGAGAAAATCTGTCTCTACATACGACAATATAGTATTCATTCATAGTAGGAGTTACCTCCTGAATAGAGTGTAAATCTTGAAAGCAACACCGCACTTTAAAAACCCACAGCTGCACCTGACAGGTAGGGTGAGGACACCGTTCCAGCGAGCACGGGTGGTGGCGTCCGTGGCTGCCCGCTGGCGACTCAACCCCTGCTACATGCATTCTTTCGCCATAACTGACAATTACTGGGTTCTCATAGAGCAGCCACTAGTTGTATCCGTCTCGAAGATCCTCCGAGTTTTGATAAAGCATGACGCACTCATCGATGCTCTCCAGTGGTGGGAAAAGGAGGTAAGGAGAAGAGCGTCTGTCGTTTGCAACAATGTCCATGTCAAGTTCGGTGAGGTGGTACTTATCACCGGCTCGTACACACACACATACGATGTATAGTGTCGCTTCTTTTAAATGATCGTTTAAAAATCTTTATTTTTTTTTTATCACATTGGCCGATTCCCACCAAGGCAGGGTGGCCCGAAAAAGAAAAACTTTCACCATCATTCACTCCATCACTGTCTTGCCAGAAGGGTGCTTTACACTACAGTTTTTAAACTGCAACATTAACACCCCTCCTTCAGAGTGCAGGCACTGTACTTCCCATCTCCAGGACTCAAGTCCGGCCTGCCGGTTTCCCTGAACCCCTTCATAAATGTTACTTTGCTCACACTCCAACAGAACGTCAAGTATTAAAAACCATTTGTCTCCATTCACTCCTATCAAACACGCTCACGCATGCCTGCTGGAAGTCCAAGCCCCTCGCACACAAAACCTCCTTTCCTAGGCCGACCCCTACCCCGCCTTCCTTCCACTACAGACTGATACACTCTTGAAGTCACTGTTTCGCTCCATTCTCTCTGCATGTCCGAACCACCTCAACAACCCTTCCTCAGCCCTCTGGACAACAGTTTTGGTAATCCCGCACCTCCTCCTAACTTCCAAACTACGAATTCTCTGCATTATATTCACACCACACATTGCTCTCAGACATGACATCTCCACTGCCTCCAGCCTTCTCCTCGCTGCAACATTCATCATCCATGCTTCACACCCATATAAGAGCGTTGGTAAAACTATACTCTCATACATTCCCCTCTTTGCCTCCAAGGACAAAGTTCTTTGTCTCCACAGACTCCTAAGTGCACCACTCACCCTTTTCCCCTCATCAGTTCTATGATTCACCTCATCTTTCATAGACCCATCCGCTGTTATAAAGCCTTTGCTGTATATTTAATAACATTCTTCCACTTGCTGTCCTCGGGAATGTACTGCAATAAATTAGGCCTCTACTCAGGCATGCAAAACAAGTACTTTACTGACTCTAATCCGAGTACTGAAAGCCTGCTTAATTATTGCATTTCGTAGAGGAAGGTAACTTTTCCAATATTAGTTGATTAAAATTTGCTAAAAAAAAAAATGAAAAATTGGAGCGAAAACTGAATTTTTTTTCCAGAACTGTGCAAAATGAATGGAACTCTTCTATATTCAAATATTTTCGATTTTAATCAGTCTGCCAGCTTTAAATTTAAAAGATTTTTGTGTGTTAGAGCATATACTGTCTACAATATGCCTTAGTTTAACAAAGATTTTTACCTTTATAATTAACAAAAATATTAACATTTAAACATACTAACAATCTGTGTAGTTGATGATTAATAATGAATATAAGTTTGTGTTTGCCATAGACTAAGATCCACGTGGTGAGTCGTGAAACAGGAACTGTCACCAACACACAGTATGTCACTGAGACCTTCTTCTTCCTGCACACCATCAACGCCTACGAGGACAGCGACCACATCGTGCTCGACATTGCCTCCTACAAGAACGCCGAGATGCTGCAGTGTATGTTCGTCGAGGCGCTCAAGGTGAGGCTATGAACAACCTAAGGTCAGGTTCGAATTCTTTCAGTTTGGAGAAATTCTAAAACTAGCATTGTAAATCACCATATATATGTGAGTTTTACTGTCGCCAGAACGCCGCCTATGACCCGACATTCGCCCAGATGTTTCGAGGCCGGCCCAAGAGATGGGTGCTGCCCCTCCACCCTAACAAGAACGCTGAGCCCAATGCTAATCTCATCAGCCTTCCTAATACCAGCTGCCACGCACGCTGGGCCAAGAAGAACCTCGTCTACGTCACACCAGAACTTATTGTGGACATTGGATGTGAGGTAAGACACCTATACTCCTGTACAACAGATATAATAAATAATATCACATCCAAAGTATTGACATGGTGGTTTTCTCTGACTAAATGTCACTGTCTGGGTGGTCACTTAAAGCTTCATCTCATCTGTAAAATAAATGTCAGACTATTCAAGTAGAAGTGCAACTTAGGGACACAGGTGGAAGCTGTTCACCTTAATGTGCTATAGACATAAAGTCTTCAGTTTATTGATAGTGAAGGAATTCAATGAACAAACTAAGAGGGGAGGCATGAGAAGGTATATTATTATTGTTATTATTATTATTATTATTATTATTATTATTATTATTATTATTATTATTATTATTATTATTATTATTATCATTATATTATTATTATTATTATTATTATTATTATTATTATTATTATTATTATTATTATTATTATTATTATTATTATTGTTATTCAATATAAATCTCCTGCAAGACCAGGACCCACACGTTACTGAATTCACAAACACAATGAGTAACTGCATGTTGCTACCAACAGTAACAAAACCTACAAGAGTTACAGAGACTAGTGTTTCCCTACTTGACCACATCTGAACCAACACCATATCCCCTTTAAAATCAGGCATAATTACAGATAATACCACAGACCACTACCCTACTTTCCTCATAACAACTCTTGGTAAAATACCCCAAGACACTACTAAAGTCACCTTCAGACTTCACAATGAGGCAGCCATTAATAACTTCACAACAGCAGTAACAAACATTGACTGGCACACTGAGCTAGAAATCTATACAGATATTGACGAATGTTTTAATAATTTTCTAAAAAAGACCCAATACCTTTATAACACCCAGCATTCTCAAATCCATAAATACAAAACACCGATATGAAAAACAGTACAGAATGGGTCACATAACCAGAGACCAAACAAAACGTTACTCGTCAATCCTAACCAGCCTGATAAGAAGGGCAAAAAAATTGTATTATGAGAACAGATTATCCAACTTACGAGGTGATATAAAAAAGACCTGGAAGACCCTATCAGAAATTCTGGGAACAAAAAAGATATCACGACATAGCGAAATAAAATTAGCAAAATCAGATGAACCCCAACTCCCACCAACAGAAACAGCAAACAGACTCAATGATTTCTTCTCCACTATAGGTCAAAACCTTGCCAATAAAATCCCAAGCTCAGATACCCCACCAAATGACTACCTCACTGGCAACTACCCGAACACACTGTTCCTAGCTCCGACTAACCCATACGAAGTCTCCCTTATTATCAACGCACTGAAAAACAAGGCAGGAGATTTAAATACCTTACCACCCTTTATATACAAAAAAGCGTCACAAGTATTATCACCAATCATTGCAACATTCTTTAACAAATCCATTGAATCCTCCACCTTCCCTACAGTTCTCAAAATAGCAAGGGTCACCCCGATCCATAAAGGAGGAGACCAAACAGAGTTGAATAACTATAAGCCAATATCCAGTTTACACCCTCTCTCAAAAATATTCGAAAATTAATTCATAAACGAATCTACTCCTACCTCATCTCCCAAAACATTCTCAACCCCTGCCAATTTGGATTCAGGCCTAATAAAAATACTAATGATGCTATTATACACATGCTAGAACATATATACACTGCAATAGAGAAAAAAGAAGTCCCACTGGGGATCTTCATTGACTTACGTAAAGCTTTTGATACAGTTGACCATGACTTGCTCCACGTAAAATTGTCACACTATGGTATTAGAGGGCACTCCCTCAACTACCTCAAGTCTTACCTCAGCAACAGAAGCCAATATGTGTACGCAAATGGGGCAAACTCTTCTGCGCAACCAATTACAGTTGGTGTCCCACAGGGAAGTGTCCTTGGCCCTCTTCTCTTTCTCCTATACATAAATGACCTTCCAAATGCTTCGCAATTACTCAAACCCACACTATTTGCAGATGACACTACATACGTCTTCTCTCACCCGAGCCCAGTCACGCTAGCCAATACTGTAAACACCGAATTACAGAAAATATCTACCTGGATGAGGACTAAAAAACTTACACTAAACATTGACAAAACCTACTTCATTCAGTTTGGTAACAGAGCTACAGATGTCCCTCTTAACATAACAATAAACGGATCACCTATCACAAAGCTAACAGAGGGAAAATTCTTAGGAATCCACCTCGATAATAGACTCAAATTTCATACACATATACAACAAATTTCTAAGAAAATTTCCAAGACTGTAGGCATACTATCGAAGATACTGTACTATGTTCCACAGTCAGCCCTCCTGGCCCTTTATCACTCTCTTATTTACCCCTATCTCACCTATGGAATTTGTGCATGGGGCTCAACAACAATTAACCATCTCAGACCACTAATTACCCAACAAAAGGCTGCAGTTAGAATGATAACAAATTCTCACTACAGGCAGCACACTCCACCAATATTCAAAACACTCAACCTACTCACCATACAAAACATCCATACTTACTATTGCACCTATTACATACATAGAACACTTAACTCTGATATTAACCCTCCCCTCAAACATCTCCTTGCCAACCTCAACAGAACACATGACCATAACACAAGGCACAGATCACTCTTTGATGTTCCTCGTGTCCATCTCACGCTATGCAAAAACTCAATGCACATAAAAGGCCCTAAAATCTGGAATTCATTACCTGTAAATATAAAAGAAACACTACCTGTTTATAAATTCAAGTCTCTTCTCAAAGATCACTTACTCACTCAAAACCAAATAAATACTGAATAACTGAACCTAATAAATTGTATATCCTATATGTTACTCACAATTATATCACACAAATGTTAAACCTAGGACCCAATATAACTTTATTATTTTTTTTAAATACACTACCTAACAGAATACTCCATTCGACTGAATGTACAGCAATGCATGCAACCATATGACCTGTCTTTGTAATACTCATTTGTGCTTTATAGTTATCTGTTTACAATAATGTTTTATCACTGATTTCATCATTGCTTAGTTAATCTTAAGTTAATTTTAAGCCAGCCCATAATGCTATGCATATAAGTGGCTTTGGCATGCTGCTCTTACCTGTATTTTTTGTACCTCTGTATGTATGCTTAAATTACTAAATAAATAAAATAAATAAATAAATTCATTTAAAAGGCTAAACCCTTATGGATTTAGCTGTTCCCCATGGGAATGGGAAGCTATCAGGTTTGATAGGAGGAAGAGAAAGATAGCTCCAATTCTTTAGATCAAGAACCCTTCACCAGTATCAAGGCACTTCCTGTGAATGCCACTGTTGACTTAGCTTCTGCACCATGACAGTAGTGTCAGCACTAGGTAGTACATTAACTTACGTTGTCCAAGGAAAAGTAGTTTTCAACATTAGTCAAGTAAATGATAAGCGGGTCCAAGAACTGGAGCTCAATCCCACACCCACATCCTTAAGAGCCTGTTTCAATAATTACTGATTCACTTGTCCTACAGTGAATAATTTTTTTTATTAAATCCTGTTCAAAGCTGTGTAATACACCTTGTGTCACAGCAGTGGTAACTTCTACTGTGTTTCACAGGTGCCAAGAATCCACTACGACGAACACAACGGCCGCCATTACCGGTACTTCTACGCTATTTGCAGTGATGTTGATCACCGGAGCCCCGGCACGGTAGGTGGCGTCTGTACTAACAATCTAGTTGAAACAAGCCATGTAAGGTCTAACAGGCTGGGATTTGTATGTTATTTTATACTTTACCATTATATGTATAGGCTTCAAGGTTGTATAGGCTTCAAGGTTGAATTGGCTTCAAGGTTGTATAGGCTTCAAGGGAGATAAAGGATAGATAAGTTATTAGTACCGATGTGATTTATGGTATTTTTTAACTGTTTTCCCTTTTGTGGTAAATTACCTTTATATATAAATTTCATTACTGGTGTGCTGATAAGTTTACAATTATCCCCATTTTGCACGTGTGGTACTGATACAAATGTGTGTGTGGCGTCAGCTGGTGAAGGCAGACGTGGTGAACAAGACCCACCTGGAGTGGAGTGAACACAATGTGTATCCCTCGGAGCCTATCTTCGTACCTACACCTGGAGCTCAGGTAACCTTACCTACACTCATGATTATTATTGCTTTATTATTATTATTATTATTATTATTATTATTATTATTATTATTATTATTATTATTATTATTATTATTATTATTATTATTATTATCATTATTATTATTGTCATTATTATTATTATTACTCTTGTTGTTAATATCATATTTCTTTAAGCGTTAAACACGTCTTCGTCCTTCAACGCAACGGAAAAGAGTAGAAATAATTTTTTTTCAAAAGTATTGGCATCTTTATTTAGGATTTCATTTTTTTTATTACATATTTTAATTTAAGACAATGCTTATTTTATTTTTTAGGATATTGTATTTTCCTATTTTCTCTACATTTAGGTAGTAACAGCTGATAATATATATATATATATATATATATATATATATATATATATATATATATATATATATATATATATATATATATATTATATATATATATATATATTATATATATATTAACACGTCGGCCATTTCCCACCGAGGCAGGGTGACCCAAAAAAGAAAGAAAAACCCAAAAAGAAAGAAAAAACTTTCATCATCATTCAACACTTTCACCATCACTCATACATAATCACTGTTTTTGCGGAAGCGCTCAGATACGACAGTTTAGATGTCCCTTCAAACTGCCAATATACCAAACCCCTCCTGTAAAGTGCAGGCATTGTACTTCCTATTTCCAGGACCCAAGTCCAGCTAACCGGTTTCCCTGAATCCTTTCACAAAATATTAACTTGCTCACACTCCTTCAGCTCGTTAGGTCCCAAAAGCTATTCGTCTCCATTCACTCCTAACACGCTCACGCACGCGTGCTGGAAGTCCAAGCCCCTCGACCACAAAATTTCCTCTACCTCCCTCCCTCCAACGTTTTCAGGGACGACCCCTACCCCGCCTTCCTTCCTTACAGATTTATACGCTCTCCAAGTCATTCTACTTTGTTCCATTTTGTCTAAATGACCAAACCCCCTCAACAGCCCCTCTTCAGAACTCTGACTAATACTTTTAGTAACTCCACACCTCCTAATTTCCACACTACGAATTCTCTGCATAATATTTACACCACACTTTGCCCTTAGACAGGACATCTCCACTGCCTCCAGCCGCTTCCTCGCTGCAGCATTTACAACCCATATAATAGTGTTGGTACCACTATACTCTCGTACCTTCCTTTCTTTGTCTCCACAGATACCTCACCGTTCCACTCGCCGTTTTTCCTTCATCAATTCTATAGTTAACCTCATCCTTCATAAACCCATCCGCTGACAAGTCAACTCCTAAATATCTGAAAACATTCACTTCTTCCATATTCTTTCCTCCAATGTGATATCCAATTTTTCTTTATCTAATTCGCTTGATACTCTCATCACCTTACTCTTATCTATGTTCACTTTCAACTTTTTCCCATTACATACCCTCCCAAACTCGTTCACTAACCTTTGCAGCTTTTCTTTAGAATCTCCCAGAAGCACAGTATCATCAGCAAAAAGCAACTGTGATAACTCCTATTTCGTATTTGATTCTTCATAATTTAATCCCACCCCTCTCCCGAACACCCTAGCATTTACTTCTTTTACAACCCAATCTATAAATATGTTAAACAACCATTGTGACATTACACAACCTTGTCTAAGACCTACTTTTACTGGGAAGTGGTCTCCCTCTCTCCTACACACCCTAACCCGAGCCTCACTATCTTCATAAAAACTCTCTCTCTCTCTCTCTCTCTCTCTCTCTCTCTCTCTCTCTCTCTCTCTCTCTCTCTCTCTCTCTCTCTCTCTCTCCTCTCTCTCTCTCTCTCTCTCTCTCTCTCTCCTCTCTCTCTCTATACAGATGCCCACAGCTTACGAACAAGTTACGTTCCAAAAGGTTGTTCATATCTTGAATTGTTCGTAAGTCATCATTTTCCCATTTTTCTATTGTTACGATTATTATTGATGTTTTTAATATTATTAGTATCATTATTATTATTGTTCTCTGTGCCGTTGTTCGTTGAAAACTTAAAGACAATACTGTACAATATCAGTAATGTTCAGTAATGTTCAATTACTGTAATGTTCAATATCAGTAATGTACGGTTCTTAATACTAAAGCATATTTTAATAGTAAATATTGTAATAAAAATGTCCTTACCTTTTTAATTGGTACAATAAACTTGAGGTGATGGATGAGAGGAAGATCGGAGGTTGAGTGGGGCTGCTGGGGGAGAGGGTCTGCCCGGCGTCGGTTGCGGCAGAACGTCGTACCACGCAGAATGCGCTCGGATTTGCGGAAGTATTGCAAATGAAACTTTATCTAACACGGCAGTCTGTTCGTATGTCCGAATGTTCGTAACTCGAATGTTCGTAGGTAGGGTAGCGTCTGTATATGTACATACATAAAATATAAATATATATATATATAATTATATATATATATATTATATATAAAATATATATATATATATATATATTATATATATGTCGTGCGAATATGTAAAACTGGTCATTAGCAAACTCATTAAAATTAAGTCCTTTCTAAAAATTTCTCTTATACGTTTAAAGATATATTTTTTTTCATTAATGTTAACGTAAAAAATTTTAATTTTGCTCCAAAAGAATCTTAGAAAACTTACCTAACCTTATTATAACAAGAACAATTTATTTTAGCCTAACCCAACTAAATATATTTTAGATTTGTTTACAATAATTTAATACTAAACAAACACAGTGAAATATATTTTTTTCGTTAGGTTCAGAATGATTTTGGCGAAATTATTGCATACACAAATTTTCACTTGTCCTATATGGCAAGAAGAGCGTTGCTATTTAAGCCAAGATCGAAAGTTCTGCCTATTCGGCACGACATATATATATTATATATATATATATATATATATATATTATATATATATATATATAAATATATATATATATATATTAATATATATATATATATATTATATATATATATATATATATATATATATATATGCAAACAACCACTGTGAAGAATAGTGAAATTCCAAGTGCTTTCGTGATTAACACTCTTTCGTGACTACTCGTGTGAGTAGTCACGAAAGAAAGAAAGAAAAACCCAAAAAGACAGAAAAAAAGCTTTCATTATCAGTCCACACTTTCACTATAACTCATACATAATCACTGTCTTTGTAGAGGCGCCCAGGTACGACATTTTAGATAGTCACTCCAAACTGCCAATATCCCAAACCACTACTTTAAAGTGTAGGCATTGTACTTCCCATTTCCAGGACTCAAGTCCAGCTAACCGGTTTCCCTGAATCCCTTCACAAAATATTACCCTGATCACACTCCTACAGCTCGTCAGGTCCCAAAAACCATTCGTCTCCATTCACTCCTATTTAAACTCCTATTTAATGCGCTCACGCATGCTTGCTGGAAATCCAAGCCCCTCGCCCCCAAAACCTTCTTTTTTTAACACCTCGCCCGTTTCCCACCGAGGCAGGGTGACCCAAAACAAGGAAAAAACTTTCATCATCGTTAAACACTTTCACCAACATACATGCATAATCACTGTCTTTGCAGAGGCGCTCAAATACGACACTTTAGATGTCCCTCCAAACAGCCAATATCCCAAAAACATCCTTTGCACTTCCCACTTTGTACTTCCCACTTCCAGGACTCAAGTCCTACATGATATGAAAGTTGATATTTAATATGCTTCAAGTTTACTGCATCTCACAACCGCATATTGGCTCTCGAAAAGTCTTAATTAGGAACACTGTTCTTAAATAATTTTCCCACAAACCAAAGACGATAATCTGATGACGTTTAGGTCCATTCTGGGCCATTATCAAGTTGTTACATAATAATGGTCCGGGAGGGGGCCGAAACCCCGTCAGTTTTCATCTCCAAGTTGAGGTTTAATTCTCAGTTATTCCGGTGGCGGTACTGTGCCGTATTCTTCCCTTAGTTGCACCTATTGTGGCTTTTATTCTTCCTTTTATGACATCTGCTGTGACTTATTTTTTTTCCTGTGTTGCTTCTATTGTAACTTTAATTCATCCCTTTGTGGCATCTACTGTCACTGTTATTCTTCCATTCGTTGTCTGATCAGCGGGAAGATGATGGTGTTGTGCTGTCAGCTCTGCTGCGAGCCAAGGGTCTGGACCAACAGGTGTGCATCCTGGTCCTGGACGCCTGCACCTTCACAGAGGTGGGTCGAGTGGAGTTCACTGCTCCTGGACCTGTACCTAAGTGTCTGCACGGCTGGTGGGTCCAGGAAGGCACCCTCACCGTCCACACTCACAAGGATACACAAAAAACTAATACCAAGAACAAGCAAGGAACTAGCACCAAAGGCAAGCAAGGAACTAACACCGAGGATAAGCAAGGAGCTAACACCGAGGATAAGCAAGGAACTAACACCAAGGATAAGCAAGGAAGTAACACCGAGGATAAGCAAGGAACTAACACCAAGGGCAAGCAAGGAACTAACACCAAGGACAATCAAGGAACTAACACCAAGGACAATCAAGGAACTAACACCAAGGACAAGCAAGGAACTAACACCAAGGATAAGCAAGGAACTAGTACCAAGGACAAAAAAGGAACTAAAACATTTACACGTAAACGTGTAGCGTAGATTCTTGTAAATATGAATATAAAACATTCAGAAATATATTTTTACGACTGCTAAAATAAATAAGAAAATAAATATTAACAATTTATTCATCACTAAGTCTATGCATATTGTTCATTGTTTATTGTAATATTTCGAGTTCCTTAGATGACTCATAACAGAGGTGTATTTCTCCAAGTTCCATTGTAAAAATTTGTTAATCAGTTGAATAGAGAAGCCAGAAATGCATTGGTTAAATAAATTTTGTTAAGCTTGGATTGTTGATTATCATTCGAATAAACATTTTAACGTATGAATTATAATGTGAAATTTGACTTAGCATGTAGTTTCAAATTTGTTAAGTGATATGATATAAATACAATGTTGAAAAGATGGTTATGGATGTAATAAATATATGTTAACTTTATATAAAAGTAACATACGTGACCTTACAGATAACATTAATATAAAAATCTTGGAAGACAACGGGTTTAAGACATTCATTATTTCGTTTTGAGATTCACAGTGCTGGATCAATTTGCTAGGAAAGTGACTAAATCTATCACTCAGGAGGCGAACACTGACATTCTATTGAACATTTACCTGTCATATCATCATTCATATTGTTCTTACAGAGAGAAATACTCATGTTATAATTTATCACTGCATCTCAGTCCACCTCGTTTGGTGCAAATGTATTTAATTCTTAACTTTTAATTTATATGTAATTCTTAACATTTATTAATTTATTAGGCACTGACATTTTTTTTATCTAAAAGATTTTTCTTTACCCACAGAGTAAATGTTGAGAGTTTTCATCTAATTTCTTTCTACATATGCATGTAATCATATACATGTAGACATGTACGTGTAATTATATACATACGATCATCTCAATAAACATTATTTATACTTTCTTGGTTTACATGAGACCATTTTTTTGTTTCCTGAACAAGTAAATAACAAAGAAAAGATAAAAAGAATTCCATGGATAAAGAGCCTTCGCCAGTTCAGAAGTTCTACCTGCATGAAAAGCTTGAGTTATAATTCGGAATATTGTAGTTTATTTACTACGATATATCTATACTATTTTTTTAATAAAAAAAAAATATTGGTACACAAATACCCAGCACCGAGAAAAAGGTGTGTCGCTGTAAGCTGGTTGGAGCAGCAGTGGTCAGTGGGTTGATACGAGGATGTCTTGATCTGGAGGAAACCAAGTATAGCCAACATGCATGAACACACAGATTATAATTTGAAAAACAAGCTTTTAATGGTACAACGATTCCCTCTACACAATTAAAACTTGCTTTGAAACTTGTCTTTTTCTTCCCGCAGCCTCGGTCTATGAATGTTACCAGAACTAATACACTTGTAGAAGAAAGCAAAACAAAAATCCTTCACCTTCAGGAGTTTCACATTTTTTCTTCTCTTACCACTCTCATGTTAAGACATTTGGTGATACTTTATGAATTTGTTGGACTGAAAATTGCATGACTTATACATGTCAATATTTACATTTCAAAAACTTCGTCCTCAGAGGTAGAGACTCTCTCAACTCATTCTCGCACCAACGGACGTAAATGTTCAAGATTTTAATGTTTTTTATTTTCTTTGACCACCTCGTTACTAGATCTATCGTGATGTGTTTTTCTAACTCGTTTATCTGTGGTTAGATGCACGTTTTTTGTAAGTATATATAACCCAACCTAACCTAACCTAAATTAACTTGACCCAACTTAAAGAAAACATGGTTTGAAGAAAAGAATCGTTTAAAAATGGACGTTGCGCAAAATTTCAAAAACAGATGTTCTAAAATGGGAAAGGTGTTGTGTGCCTGGGATGCAACACTCATTACATCTCTGGCACCAAACACTGACTGCTTGGTTACTGGTGACTTCACCTGGACACTCCTGGCTGTCATCAGCTCTGCATGGTTGGGGCTTAAGTTGTGTGATAACCATATTTCTTTCTCTAACTTTTTATTGCATTCTTTTCTTTTGATCTACAGCGGATTAAATCATTGAAGCTCAAGTGATCTATCTGTGATATTTTCCAGGTACACCTGAGTGCAGCGAGGATAGGGGCGACAAGGCTGCATGCGTTAATTGATTTAATGATATGTGGTCCAGCTTCAACACATGTTATTGTAGCTTCAAAACATGTCACTGTAATTTCAAAACATTTCACTGTAGCTTCAAAACAAGTTTTTGTAGCTTCAACACACATTATTATAGTTTCAGCACAAATAGTACACTGCCGCAGCATAGAAAGTATCTCGGCATAATTATACACTCTAAAATTACCACGTTCTTTGAGATATTTAAACAAGCCTAAAACCGCCACGTTCTTTGAAACATTTAGAAAGAATATGTACACAGCCCACACTCATTACCTGTAGTACGCCAGATCAACAACGGCAGAGATGATAACATGAGGATTGAACAAGTCTCACTGTTCAGTAAGAGCGTCAACGTAACATTGCTGTTTTAATTTAAGAGATGTGATGGGTATCAGGGCTCTGTGTATACAAAGCATGGTCATTGTTGTATGTATACACTATACAGCAGGGCTACTCAATTGGCGGCCCGCGGTCCGAATCCCAACCTTCTGAGTATTGTAGTTGGACGGCGAGCTTCAAGAGAAAGCTTACTTAAATAACAGGTGTTACCACGTTCAGGATCAGGTGGTAAACAAGAGCGGGATTAATACACTATTGTGAATGGCATCCATACACTGAATGGAATACAGTATTTTAGCTTAGCTAAATAGCTAAATAGTGATATTTTCTTCCATTCAATGATAATTCATATTGGTAATTATCACTTGTGCAATAATGTTGACCTATTTGGCATCTTGGAAAAAGAGTTTGGCTGCATGTGGGTTGGGAAGCCTGGCGACCCTGGACCCTGATTGCGTGTGAAAAATGTATCCGGACCTTTGCATACATTGGTATTGTCCAAGTGGATCTTTGCTCATAGTAGTTGAGTAGCCCTGATATACAGAACATAATCACTGTTGCATATTAACAAAACTTAGTAAGTGTTGTAGGTGTATAAAGTTTTGTCATTTTTGTACATATACAGAACATAGTAAGTTTTGTAGGCAAACGGTGCCTGTTCACTCTTGCTTGTAAACATACAACAGTGTTCACTCTTGTTCACTCGTTTATATACAAAACATAAACATAGTAATTCCTAGGAGGAGAAACAAAAACTGTAAATAGTAATTAATGTTTACTAATATGTCCATAATATAATTTTTTCATAATATACCACGAGAAAAGTATGTACAAAAGAATTATACAATATTATGTAGCACCCGGACATAGCAGAGGAGAATGATTTAAAAACAGGAAATAAATGAAAGCGATGAGTATGAAACATATATTAGACTGTTGAAACAAAGTGTCATTTTAGAACGTTCATTGAGATCGTGTCTTTGGTATCAGCATTATATATCGTAGTAAAATCAAGCATATAATACGCTGTTTTCGATATGATTGTCTCAGCCTTTCAAGTATGGAACTAGAGAATTATTCAAGAATTAATCACCTTTCTCATACGAATACAAGACAGAAGGGCGAAGTGTCAGTTTACTCATGTTATTTGTCTTGGCATGGCTTGACCTGTCACCCTGCTGCTACAGCATGCACAACACCGCTCTGTCCTTTTACTGTATATACTTTACTTCATTTTTTCTGGTCCGTTTTCCACCTGCTGGTCATGAGTATGTCCAGTAGCTTCGCAGGCGGATCCATCGTGTCCACTTCGACAACACTCGGAGCAGCAGGATTCTGAAGATATGTTGGACAGCGGTCGGCCTAGGCTGGGCGATGTTGAGGAGGACCTGGGCAGCGTGAGGTCGTCTCTCTTCGTATCTTGTCGATTTAAGGAGGACAACGAGCCTTCATTTGGGCGGAAAGGGCGTCTTATTTCAGGCGAGGATCTCTGGTATTGGTCCTCCGTATCTGATTCTGTGGTAGAGAATCTTAATGAGATATGCTGGTAATAGGAAAAATAGTGTGTGAACAAAACTAGGAGACGTTTCGATCCGTCCTGAATCATTATCAAGTTTCTCGTGATTTGATAATGTTTCAGGATGTTTGTCATTGAACTGAAACTCCAATTCGTGGGCTAACTGCGAACTGTTGCAGCAACTGTATTGTGAATCTACATATTTTGTGTGAGATATACTGGGGAGAGGAAACGTGTGTGAACAAGAGGCAGTTAGCAGAACCACATTTACACTCAGCAGATAATCATGTATAGAAAAAAGAGGATATTGATTTTAATAAGGCTCTGAAAAAATAAAGGCAGAAATTTTATTTTACCCTTAAATGGTGTAAATAACTTCAGTTACTTTTCGAAGTTCATTGACCAAAATATTCCTGATATAACTGAATTATGATATCAACTCTCTGAGCTAAGTGGCGAGAGTCCTGTCTTTCATGACACCAGCTGAGGTTTCTGGGTTTCAATACTATCTCATGAAAGATGGTGCCCTGAGTATCAGTGTCTGTCAGTATTGTTTTAATGTTTTAGTCAAAACAACAATCTGTCAATGAAATGATCATATATGGTTACCCACTAAATACTTCTAAACACTCTGAAGGTCATCTCATAAACTTGACTTAACCTGTCAGAGAGCGGTGGCGGTACTTACTACTGAGTTTATGAAGTGTTTGAGGCTCTTGTCTATATTCGGAGGTAGAATCACTGTGGCCTTCACTGGCCACAGTGTGGATTCTGTGAAGGTCCATATCCGAGGCGTAGATGGAATGGTGCCTGTACGAAGAGCCGGAATGTTGTGGTCGAAACCCCTTGACACCCATTACCACTGAGGGTCGTCGGCGTGGGTTGCCCAGACTGCCGTGGTTGACTTCGTTCTTCCAATGTTCTTTCCTGTTAGGGTCTCGCCTGTCCTGGTCACTGGCTACCCGTTCCAGCTGAGGATGCTTGGGCTGGATACCCACAGCACTCAGCAGGTCCGGGTTGTACCTAGCAGAGTGCATCAGTTATTGTTGAATATTTAGTTTCCCACTTGAAATATAACGAAATTTCTTGAATTTTTAGTATTTTACAGTGATATTTACTTTTCCAGTTGTTACAGATGATGAAAATTAACGTATTTTTGTATAACATAATACTTTTTCTGTTTAAAGTATCTCAATAAAGCTTTTTACCGTGTTAAAGGTGTAGCGATCAAGAGAAACTCATAATTAAAAAATCTTGATTTTTTCTCAATGAAAGTTTGTGACGAGGAGTCATAAACTAAAAGAAAGAGAACCAGTATTATTAGGCTACATCTCATCCCCCTTCTTTGTGTGTGTTATTAGTGCCTTTTATGCTAGTCGTAATAAGCATTATTGACCTTAATAAATAAAATAATATTGCAATGACTTACTGAGGAAGGTAATGCACTTTGATTCCCTCGGTACTCTCCTCTCTTGATAGTATCCCCTTTTTTCGCTTCGAACTCCTCTTACGTTTGAAGCTTGACTGCTGCTCTTTGAGCAGCAGATTTTTCCTCATCTGCTGCTCCTGTTGTCGTAGGAACTGCAGCTGCTCTTGCTGGTGCTGCAAAGTGGCTTGGTAGGCTGACGCAAAGGTTACGTTTCTGCGAAGTCTCTGCTGAACGGGAGTCAGTTGTGCCGGCGACCCTCGAACGGACATGCTGCAGGAGGATTTATAACCTTGAAATAATCGACAACAGTGGACTTACACTTACGTATATAATTAATATATATATATATATATATATATATATATATATATATATATATATATATATATATATATATATTATATAATATATATATATATATATATATATTATATATATATATATAATATATTATACTGCTTGTTGATATTATAATAAATATATTATATAAATATATTATATATATACTGCTTGTTGAGCTACTACACAAGCAGGGAGTAGAATGAAATTAGCTCAGAGGCGTCCACACCACCGTATGTCCTTCGATGGCGGATACAACATCTAGCTTGGCTGGATGCGCCATTGTTAAGGATTGTGTTATTGACCAATACCACTTGTTTCGTGGGTACAATAATATACATACATACATACATACATACATATATAATATATATATATATATATATATATATATATATATATATATATATATATATATATATATATATATATATATATATATATATATGTCGTGCCGAATATGTAAAACTGCTCAATTAGCAAGAACTCATTTAAAATTAAGTCCTTTCTAAAATTTTCTCTTATACGTTTAAATATATATTTTTTTCATTATTGATGATGTAAAAATTTTTAATTTTGCTCTAAAAGGAACTTAAAAAACTTACCTAACCTTATTATAACAAGCGCAATTTATTTTAGCCTAACCCTACTGAATATATTTTAGATTTGTTTACAATAATTTAATACTAAACAAACACAGTGAAATATATTTTTTTCGTTAGGTTCAGAATGATTTTGGCGAAATTATTGCATACACAAATTTTCACTTGTCCTATATGGCAAGATGAGCGTTGCTATTTAAGCCAAGATCGCAAGTTCTGCCTATTCGGCACGACAATATATATATATATATTAAATATATATATATATATATATATATATATATATATATTATATATATATATATATATATATATATATATATATATATATATATATATATATTATATATAATATATATTATATAATATATATATATATATAATATATTTAACAAGTCGGCCATCTCCCACCGAGGCAGGGTAACCCAAAAAAGAAAAAAAAATCCCCTAAAAGAAAATACTTTCATCATTATTCAACACTCACACATAATCACTGTTTTTGCAGAGGTGCTCAGAATACAACAGTTTAGAAGCATATACGTATAAAGATACACAACATATCCCTCCAAACTGCCAATATCCCAAACCTCTCCTTTAAAGTGCAGGCATTGTACTTCCCATTTCCAGGACTCAAGTCCGGCTAATTAAAAATAACAGGTTTCCCTGAATCCCTTCACTCAATATTACCCTGGTCACACTCCAAATAATTAAACATCGGCAGCAAATGTAAGGTGATTGCCAGTATATTTCGACTTTCTCGGAATCAACCCTAGCTCTTTGGGTTATAAGCTGAAAGCATTACCACTCTTTTACTTCCCAACACCTTTTCAAATACTTGTATTAAAGAAGGGGGAAGGGTCAGATCCTTCTAACTTAAACTGTCTATCAAAGAGGAGACGTGACTCACCTGTAAGCTCTCTCCCTCACTGCGCTTGAAGACATGTCAGGATCCCCCAGGTCGAAATCCTCAGCTAGCTCTGGATACGCATTAGCTCTTCTAAGCCTCTCCAAGCCCAGGTGATCGAGAAGGTCAATGTCATCACGGCTGTGGCGCTGAGGACCTAAATAATACTTGGAATAACCAGGAACATCGACACACTGAAGAGGGTCCTGGGATAAATTTCTTGAATATTTTCGAGAGCTCTTACGTTGCCTCTCTCTTTCCTCTGCCACCGTATTTGCCAAGATCCTGAAATTTTTAACATTTTTAATGAGGCCATAAAATGGCACCATGGCAGTATGTGTCATGCTGCCATTGCTATTACAAATTAAAGTAAACATAATTTATAACCATTTAAATTGACAATTTAAATTCTATATTTCACTTATCTCTGTGTACCCACAAACACGACCTGTCACAAAAAACAGATTTCAACATAAGAGTGTTCACGGTAACTAGATGAAGATCTACACAAGCTACAGAACTGGTATGCACGCGGCTGTTAGAGCTCAAACTCACAAGTGAAAAAAATAAGAAAGGACAAGGAAACCGAAAACTTAGCACTATCTGAGGAAAAAAAAAAAGGAAGTGAATATTATATTAATCTGTCACCTAAAAATAACATAAGATGAATAACATTAGCGATGAATGTTATATGAACAAACGTAAAGATGACTTTCATATTCGATCCCAGAGAATGCAGAACCGGTTTGGAATTTTCACGAAAACTAACGCACAAGTAAGGACGATAAAGTTCAGTAATATACCTACAGATTTATACCATAACTGCAAGTGAGAACTTATAAGAAGATGCATATAGGAAGGTGCATCAGGAGAATAAATCGTGATATACAAACACTACTGGACATGGACGGGATAAACAAGGGCGGCAGCTTTTACACCGGGAGGAGAAACGAAGAGACACGTGACAGCTGAACACAACCTAATCTGTGAAACATTAGAAAGTATTTTTACGTCGTTGGAGTAATACAGAACATGAATGAATTTAGTCATAACAAGAGAGAGGCTGACACTATACTTGGATTAGAAAGTATGTGCGACAGAACTCAATCACATCAGTCATGGGCCTCAGAGAAGGTATGCAGAGCCGTGCAGCCATAATTATTATTACTACTACTACTACTACTATTATTATTATTATTATTATTATTATTATTATTATTATTATTATTATTATTATTACAATCAAAACTAAGCGCTAAACCCACAAGGGTCATACAGCGCTGCCCGGAGGCCATGATCCGAGGTGGTGTTTGGGGAATGTCTTGATCCCCTCAAACAACTTCGTGAGAACACACTAAGTTCATGAAATCAGGCAGAACTGCGGGGAGTGCTAGTAGTATACGATGCGTGGAGGATTATTATTATTATAATCAAAAAGAACGGTTAAACCTACAAGGATGAGTGGAGGAATAATTAGACTTACATGATCGCATCGTGATCAGGTCCAGCGGGGTTGGTGACTCCGCCCAGGGCTGAGTTGTGGAGGTGGTGCTTCGGGGGACGGTCGTGCAGTTGCGTCTCCTCCTCCAGCTGCACGAAACCCCTCCCACCGTAGAAGGTGGAGCCCCCAATGTTGAGGAGCTCATCGGACAAGGCTTCTCGTATATGTCGATTTTTGCAGCAGGCGACTACACACACCAGGACAGACCCCAGCAACAGCAGACCTGAAGGAAATCCCAGTTACAACACTCTGCTTGCTTACTAACAGCTTAACCAATTGGCAAAATAGTTCAGAGCCTTGAGTAGTTTGAGAGTGACCTGTGTGTGTTGTAGCGTGCATAAAAAAATGTCAGTCTCAAATTCACACCGAATGCAATACGTTTTCAGATGGGAGGTTCAGTGCTGAATTTTAAAAAAATGGATGGGTCATTAAATCGTGTCGTCCTGGAAAGATTCGTACAGTAGAACTTAAGTGATAGCGAATCTACTAATTTTGCCTGCCTGTGTTTGCCCTCACCTCCGAGTCCCAGTAGGCCAGGACCAAGGGCCAGCAGCAGGGTGTCTGGTGGATCCTTCTCGTAGGCCTGCGAGGTAAGGAAAGTGCCGACTCCCATGAGGATGACTCCCACGGTGAACACACACAGCACGTAGGGCGCCCCTACAACCACAGGCCGCACCTACCAGAAAAACAGTCGTCACGGCGAGGCAAGGAGGAAGAGAATCAGGGACACGGCACTTGCAGCAGGAAAATTATGAGGCAAAGCTAAGTATGAAAGCCTGATACAACACACGAACCCATTAATTTCATTCATACAAACACATAAATGAATTATCACTCGCACAAAAATCTCAAACCTATTATATTACTCACACTAACCTATTAACATCATTCAAACAAACGAACAAACCTGTTAATATCACTAAAACACACAAACTTACCATCGTCACTTATTGCTGAAGCTTTTAATATTGTAAAGCAAAAACAAAAATTAAAATAAAGATGAAATAATAGTCTTTCTTTACTTTATTCGTCATAACACTTTACATTAATTACTGTACTTTATTTTTTATACCCGGTTCCACATAGTCTTCCTGCTAGAAACATTTTATGAGTGCCTCCACAGTCATCCTGTTAGTGAGTGGGTCCCACAGTCATCCTGTTAGTGAGTGGGTCCCACAGTCATCCTGTTAGTGAGGGGCCCCACAGTCATCCTGTTAGTGAGTGGGTCCCACAGTCATCCTGTTAGTGAGGGGTCCCCACAGTCATCCTGTTAGTGAGTGGGTCCCACAGTCATCCTGTTAGTGAGGGGCCCCACAGTCATCCTGTTTGTGAGTGGTTCCCACGTCTTCCGGTTAGTGAGGGCCCCACGTCATCCTGTTAGTGAGTGGGCCCACAGTCATCCTGTTAGTGAGTGGGGTCCCACAGTCATACTGTTGTGAGTGGGTCCCACAGTTATCCTGTTAGTGAGTGGGTCCACAGTCATCCGGTTAGTGAGGGCCCCACAGTCATTCCTGGTAGTTGAGGGGCCCCACGTCTCCTGTTTGTGAGGGCCCCACAGTCATCCTGTTAGTGAGGGTCCCCACAGTCATCCTGTTAGTGAGAGGCCCCACAGTCATCCTGTTAGTGAGGGGCCCCACAGTCATCCTGTTAGTGAGGGCCCCACAGTCATCCTGTTAGTGAGGGGCCCCACAGTCATCCTGTTAGTGAGGGCCCCACAGTCATCCTGTTAGTGAGTGGGTCCCACAGTCATCCTGATTAGGAGTGGGTCCCACAGTCATCCCGGTTAGTGAGTGGGTCCACAGTCATCTGTTAGTCGAGGGCCCACAGTCATACCTGTTAGTGTTTGGGTCCACAGTCATCCTGTTAGTGAGTGGGCCCCACAGTCATCCTGTTAGTGAGTGGCCCCACGTTATCCTGGTAGTGAGTGGGTCCACAGGTCATCCTGTAGGAGTGGGCCCCACAGTCATTGTTAGTGAGTGGGTCCCACAGTCATCCTGTTAGTGAGTGGGTCCCACAGTCATCCTGTTAGTGAGGGCCCCACAGTCATCCTGTTAGTGAGTGGGCCCACAGTCATCCTGTTAGTGAGTGGGGGCCCACAGGCATCCTGGCTTGTGACGGCCCACAGTCATCCTGTTAGTGAGGGCCCCACAGTCATCCTGTTAGTGAGGGGCCCCACAGTCATCCTGTTAGTGAGGGGCCCCACAGTCATCCTGTTAGTGAGGGGCCCCACAGTCATCCTGTTAGTGAGGGCCCCACAGTCATCCTGTTAGTGAGGGCTCCACAGTCATCCTGTTAGTGAGGGCCCCACAGTCATCCTGTTAGTGAAGGCCCCACAGTCATCCTGTTAGTGAAGGGCCCAACAGTCATCCTGTTAGTGAGGGCCCCACAGTTATCCTGTTAGTGAGGGGCCCCACAGTCATCCTGTTAGTGAAGGGCCCCACAGTCATCCTGTTAGTGAGTGTCCTTTATAAACTTTATTTTATAAGAAGTCTCATAGAATTTGAAAGAATTTTTTAAGTCAGAGAATGAGGCAAAATCTAAATAAGACTGGACTTTGTTTTGGATAAAATAATAACATAAATATATGGTGTATCTCCAAAGTTCGAACTACCATTTCCTGTGGACCAGAATTATTGAATATTTTGTTCTTGGGATCGAATAAAAACAATAATAAAAGATTATGCAAATAGACATAAGACAAATGAGGTTAGACATCAAAACTGAATTTACTGACTTTATACTTTAAAAGGAAGGGGGGGGTTGCCGGTGATGGTCTTTTTATCCAATGAATTTGAGCTTCTTTATGCTTGCTTGTATACCTCGTTACGTCTGCGTCTTCAGTGCTTTCCCATGGCGGTAATAATAATAATAATAATAATAATAATAATAATAATAACACCAGCCGTGAAATTTAAAACATTTACTTGTCAAATACATACAGCAACAAATAATAAAAGTCTCAGTACAATAGCTATAACAAATCACTAAAAACTTACTCTTTGGCGAAGACACTTTCAATGATTCAAATAATACCACGGGCGGGGATAGAACCCGCGATCAGAGACTCAAAACTCCAGACCGTCGCGTTAGCCACTGTACCAGCTAGCCACAATAAAATTCAACCAACTAGGTATATTTATACACCATAGGAAGGTTAGCATAGGCACCACTGTGACATCAAAATGACAACGTTTTTACAGATGAATTCCAGTTAGCGTGGCCATGACGAACTCTAGCTCAAGTCCCTTCAAAGCCGTCAACATGACTCACGAAATCGTAATGACACGATTGTAAACAAACCATACCACGGGCGGGGATAGACGTTTCTGCCCGTCTCGGACTATTATCAAGTTCAGAATAATGGTTCAAGGCGCATGGAAACGTGATCTAATCTATGGTTCATTTTTAAACATACAATCACCCTGTTAAACATTGATACAATCTAGACTAAACATTCCCACTAACGACTCACTGCCAACATTGTGAAGGAATTTCTGGAAGCGGAAATCTTCGCTAAAACGGAAATCTTCGTTAAACGGAAGCCTTCGCTACAGCGGAAGCTTCATTGTTTAAGGAGAAACTTGAAACCCCCATATGAAGTATTTTTTACCTCGTATTGTTTATGTGCACAGAGCAGTTTATGTACACTGAGAGGCGTATCTTAATGTATATACAGAGAGATATACCTCTGTGTATACAGTGAGAGGTGCACCACAGTGTATATACACTGAAAGGTGCACCACAGTGTATATACACTGATAGGTGCACCACAGTATATATACACTGAGAGGTGCACCACAGTGTATATACACTGAGAGGTGCACCACAGTGTATATACACTGAGGGGTGCACCACAGTGTATATACACTGAGAGGTGTACATCAGTGTATATACACTGAGAGTGAACCACAGTGTATATACACTGAGAGGTGTACCTGGAGTTTACCTGGAGAGAGTTCCGGGGGTCAACGCCCCCGCGGCCCGGTCTGTGACCAGGCCTCCTGGTGGATCAGAGCCTGATCAACCAGGCTGTTGCTGCTGGCTGCACGCAAACCAACGTACGAGCCACAGCCCGGCTGGTCAGGTACCGACTTTAGGTGCTTGTCCAGTGCCAGCTTGAAGATTGCCAGGGGTCTGTTGGTAATCCCCCTTATGTATGCTGGGTACATCAGTGTACATCCACCGAGAGACACCTTACTGCATATACGCTGGAATTTAAATCCCTAATTTATGAATTAACCTCGACGTGCCTAGTGATGTCGCCTTGTGTAGTCAAAAGTGTTTAATCCTAACTAAGTAATTTATCAAAGTAATCAGAATATATTTCTACCTGTATACACACTTGGAGTTTACTTTATTCCTTAACGTAACCCTGTGTACCTAAATATAACTCAAATGTACCAAACCGTCTGACATAACATAATCCATGCATACCTAAACATCTAGCATAACTCATTTATAGTTAGTCTTCTAACATGGGAACGCCTTGACTTCCCTCTTCAGGGTTTTCCTATTTTGAGTTAGACCCTCTTAGTACTCTTGAGTACTAGGTACTCCAGAGTACGGCCCGACCGCTACCCGGCCTACACGGGTTCTAAGTTGATAGGGTAACGTGTATATCGCTGAACAGCGGTCAGAGCTCACAACTGAAAGGTCCCAGGTTCGCTCCCCAAGCAAAGCTAGACGTATGAGAAAGTTTTTTTACACCTGATGTTCCTGTTTACACAACAGAAACTAGGAACCTAGATATTGGTCGAATGTTATGGGACGTAACTTATATGGTGGCAGCTAGGGTAGAATTTCAAATGAGCACGAGGTCATAATGGCGAGGCGTCACCAAAATGACCACACTTTCCTCCAGTGAATTCTCTTCCTGAAGCTATTCTATAAATTCCTAGTCCTGTGACACCCATGATGTAGATGCTACAGATCAGGTTATCTTCTATAAGTTTCGTCCATAGACATTAATAGTATGGATTTATATGTAGAAAAATTCAAGTTTTAAAAGATCATTGCTAGTTGCTACTACTAGGAAACTTGTAGACAAGCTGCATGCTAGTTCCAAAATAGGTATGGACAGATATAGATTTTGTTATTAGCGATCTTCATACACCTTCCCGAATCCGACCTCACATTCACAGGATCAGACACTTTGATCCAATTTGATCAGTAAGATGGGGTGAAACGCGCACTAATGAAGCAAGTCTGGTAGTGAATTGTCGCGACGAATTATGAGTTGGGAAAAGTTGTGATTTGGCAGTCATCCTGGAAATTTCTGTAACTAACCAGAACTGCGGGAACTCCTTGAAAGTGTCCTGTACTCTGCATTTGTTTTCATTTTAAATTATAATCACACCCTTCAAGTTACTCATAATATTAGAATTTTCCTATTTTGTAGATACGTACATGTCTCAAATCTAGTTACATAAAAAGTATTATACAAATTGTTATGGCAAAAAATTCCTTTAAGTATTTACTTTTCAAGACGATACTTACCATAAGTTAAAGAAAATGGTTTAGTAATAACAATGGATGACACAAGTTAAAATCTCAGAAGTTTACATATCTTCACGGTGTCTGAACACTTAGCTTACTCTATACTTTATATACCAAGATGGCGAGTTTGAACAAAGGATTGTAGTACCGATTTCGGTGTGTATATATTAAAGATAGGAATACAGTGATACCTCTCATATCCGAACTATATGGGCCGAGACCGGTTCGGAAACACGGAGTTTCCGGATACGTAAAGGGGAAAAAAATGCGCATCCGTACCGTCATATCACCATTCGTACCCCGTCATATCGCCATCGGCGACGGCGTTGTAGGTTTAAAAAACGAGTTCAACGTTATCTGGCGGTGGGACCAGACACTCTAGGCTCGAATAACAGCCTCCCGGATTTCACGGACCACAGGACCATAACTTTTCAAATGAGCTACCTGGAGTATACCTGGAAAGGGTTTCGGGAGTCAACGGCCCCGCGGCCCGGTCTGTGGCCAGGCCTCGCGGTGGATCAGGTCCTGATCAACCAGGCTGTTACTACTGGCCTCACGCAAACCGACGTAAGAACCACAGCCCGGCTGGTCAGGTACTGACTTTAGGTGCCTGTCCAGCGCCTTCTTGAATGCAAGGGGTCTATTGGTAATCCCCCTTATGTATGCTGGGAGGCAGCTGAATAGTCTTGGGCCCCTGAAACTTATTGTGTTGTCTTAGCGTACTCGTGCCGCCCCTGCTTTTCATTGGGAGGACGTTGCATCGTCTACCGAGTCTTTTGTTTTCATAGGGAGTGATTTGGTACTAATCCCCCTATAATTTCCAAGTGGACAGCGGATGCTCCAAATATGTACTCCAAAAGTGTTTCGACACCTGCCGTTGCTGCTGAAGATTTTGATCTTGGAGGCATTGGGTCGTCGTCGTTGTCGTCACTTTCGAAATATTCCGGATGCAACACTGATTCTGCAATCTCTGCATCCGTCAGAGATTGCACACCAGGTTCGTCTTCGTCACACTCTAGCCAGTCCTGCACGTCGTCTTCTGTAGTTTTTTCCCAGACTTAGACCAACCTGCATCCACGTGCGACAATATTTGCCTCTTTTTTCTAGAGTAAGCACATTCCTGGTCCTCTTTGGTGCCATACACAAGATAGGACAAAATACAGCTGTCATAATGTTAATTAAATGAAAGGCGAAGAGCGTGGCTCCTAGTGGCCAACCGGTACACTACAGTGCGCGCCAAGTTTGATGCAGCCTTCTCCCGTATCCGACCAGCTGTTCGGATGTTTCGGTAATAATTTTAGAATTTTACCCTTTCCCAGGGCCTGTTCGGATATTGGCGAGGTTTGGATAATGGCAAGCCGGATATGCGAGGTATCACTGTACATGAAGGTTGCTTGGATAGGTAGTCGTAGCTTAGTGGTAGTATCTTCGGCTCACACTCGAAGGACACGGGTTTAAGTCAAGGGCAGGTGAACATTAAGAGTAACTCTTTTTATGCCTGTTGTCCCTGTTCATCTAGCAGTAATTAGGTACCTGGGTTGGTTCGTTGGTTGAGCTAAAAGGCTATCAAATGTATGAGGTTCATTAAGTCCGCATGTAGCTACTCTAATCTCTAAAATAGGTATTAAAGTGTATATAGAGCGAGACACACTACAGATAAGTGATATCCTGAGATGTGTCTTAAATAATGTAAAAATGGTGAGTGTGAGGTGGATGTGGGTGACCCGGTGGTCATGGATGCCTCGATTGACATGGGTGCCCAGGGGGAACATGGGTACCACGATGAGCATGGGTGCCCCAGTGAATACGGTTGACCCAGTGAACACGGGTGCCCCAGTGAACACGAGTGCTTCGATGAACACGGGTACTCCGGAGAACATGGGTGCCCCGGTGAACGTGTGTGATAGAGACAGCCAGGGAAACCCTGTTGCTGGTCAACGTAACGTAATATACTGACAAGGAAAGACAGGAGTGCCTGACAACACTGCCTACTGAACGTTTTAGTCAAGTACTCTTTTAACTTTAAGTACATTTTTATATGCTTGTAATTTCTTACTAGAGTTTGTGAGTGTTCGGTTCTATCTCTCGGACCCATCTACGTTACTGTTGTAACGTTGTAGAAATGCTTCCTGACATTTCTTTGACTCATCTAACGATGTAGAAATGCTTCTTGACATCTCTGTGACTCATCTGAATGCTAATTTTCTGTTTCCTCGTGTTGGGCTTTCCCGTGGTGAACACTGTCTGTTCTCCGAAGATATGATCATATCTCCTGTTATCCGTTCGTGTAGTGTCATGAGGCCCAATTTATGCAGTTATTGTTCCTATTATCTGTTCAGCAGTTCATGTACCATTATTTGGTATATATTTGTATTTTTTTATTCATTTTTTATGTTTTAAGTCGGTTTCTCACCGGTGCTGCATGTTCGAGGATTGGTATTACACATGTTATGTGCAGCAAGCTGAATGATTTCTTGTTCAGAATTTTAAAGGCTGTTGTACATTCGTCAGTCAAGCATACGCTGCCTATGTTATTCAGTTAATATGTGTTTTAGGGATAGGTTGGGCGTGATATATATCCCTGGTGTTTTAAGGTTGCTCGCTCCATCACTGTGACCTCCAGCAACTACTTTTTCAACCATTCCTGTAACCTGTTAAGATCAACATACAACTTACTGCAGTCTTCAGTACTTTGTTCTCTTTTCATTAGTTTTGCATCTTCTTCGCGTGTCCGAGACTGATATTTGCAATGAATTGTAGTATCAGTTGTAGAGGTGTGCTCAAGGCATCCCGTCTTCACTGTTTTGTTTTTTTTTTGTTAAATAATTGGTTAAAGTTTCGATTGACTGTAGTACATAATACCTTCTCCTGGATGCCATTTCAACAGTTTACCTCACGTTGATAAAATACTTACTTAGCACCTTGTTTTTCTAGTTTAAACGTGTCATCTCTTATTCGTATTGCTGATGACCCTAAGAAATGCGTATTTTAAAGTGTCATTTTATGATTTATTATATAAATTGCAGTGTTTTCTCTTTCTCGCCTGTTAACAAATAAAGCCATTTTAAGGAATCTCAGTCCTTCTTCTTCACTTATATTTCTCGTCTTTGTACTTACTATTTTCTACCTTACTTCACCCGCTCCTCACCAGTACTGCATATTTCATTTCTGGTCTTGTGACCAGCAATTTTAGCACTTCGCCAGCCATATATCTGATGGCTATTTTGAGGTTTGTAATACCGAATAGCATTTGAGCTTCTCACTACTGCAGTTATGAGATTTGATGACAGTCTTTTATTTGTAATTACTGATAAATCCCTTTCTCTGTCTGACGCCTTCAACACTGCCACACAGCCTGTATTTTTCATGAATTGAGGTTTCCTCTTGAGAAAAAGAAGCAATTCGCATATGACTAAACCTCGAAGAACTAACCAGGAGCGAAACTTATTAAAAAAAAAGACAGCAGAGGTTTGTGAGAAGCTGAGTAGAAAATTGAAAAACATCTTGAAGTTGAAAAGAGAAGTGTTAGAAAGTAGAGGCTGCTGGGCAGAACAAATCCTAAAAAAAAAATCTGCATGTACAGGGAAAAAGTGAAGAACCTCTTTGATAACTGCATATAACAGAAACCATAGAGCTTGACAGAATGTATTTATGAGCATAGAAAGTGACCTAAATATTGCCTGAACCCATGTCAAGGATCTGTAGTAAAGCAACTGAATCTGTGGAGCTCCCCGACAGCCAGAAAACTGCAAACGTAGTCCAACCATGCAAGCAGAGACACAGGCAAGGGTCACTGACCAACTGTCCTGCTTCTCTGGCATGTATACTGTCTAAAACATTAAAATAAATCACTAAGAAACAAATGGTGGAACACATTGAATAGAAAGTATTCATAATGCAATATAAGTTTAGGGACATCAAATCTAGTCTCAAGAACCAACAGAATAGCGGACATAATACAAAAAAGGCAAAGAATGACCACTGAAATAGAAACACAAGCAAAAAAGAAATAACTCTATGGAATTAAGGAATATATAAAAAAGAGTAAACAGAGAATGGTAGAAAGGAATGAAGTCTCAGGATGAGAAATGATAACAAGTGATGTACCCAAAAAGTAAGTCCTTGAAAAACTATACACAGGAAGTTCATTTGACCATGGAACACCAAGGACATAGTGACAGTACTGAAGTTTTATATGTAGAACTAAAGTGTATTCTTTCTCAGCAGATAGCCTCGAAATAAACCCAAGTTTGTCTGTTATCTTCCATTCCCATACATTCAGATGTACTCTCAAATGCTCTCATGTAACTCATTCATGGTTTAGACAAGCAGGAGATAATTCATTTATAATGCCAATTATTATATTTATGTGACCATGTAGGTCATTCAGCGCAAGGAATAATGAAGATTTGATCCTCCGTCCGTTAATCGCAAAATAGAAATTGCTCCCTCAACCTGGATTGCCCTCTACGGTTGACAAGTGCAGAATGTAACTGTGCTTACTGTAAAGTAAGTACAAGTAGTATAATCTTACCTGGGTCTCGGGAGAGCTGTCCCTGTGTCGACGGTACACCGAGCTATCCAGTGTTGACATCATGTTTACACTTCAAGCTGAGAAAGAAGGGAGATATGACGTACGAGCTGTGTCTTGTGAATAAGTTTAAGACATTCATGACATAAGCTTCGCTCGTTATTATTAAATTTGTGTCATAAAATCTACAGCTAAAAACTATTTAATTCGAATTATTTTCTGAACTAAGACATCGTGAGTAATAATCGCATTGAACACTTGATTTCGGTATTTAATGGCAGTGGTGATGAAAGACTTATCTCAAGATTCTTAGTTCTGCTTCTTGTCTTCAGATCTGCCTTAACAGACCAAGGAACGACTCTATTATTACCTCTGCATTTAGTGAGCGTGCTTTCTTCCTTCCTCCTGACGCTGATGAGGGCCAAAATGGAGCCAGAATGGACACAGTGTCTTGTGAGGAGGAGCAGCAACTCGTCTCGTGGCACTCCAAGAGCTGACTGTCGGGAACCTTCCACTTTTAGCCTGGAGTAACCACAGGAAGCCCATATCCTCTCCCGGCTGTGACTCACCGAAAATGTCAAGCTTGCTCATCAGGTGCCAGCGAGAAAATGTTCAATTGCCATCGTTGGCTGAAAGGATGGAAAAGATGTGAAATGGCAACAATTTGCATTACTATAAATGAGAGCGAAAAAATATACAAATTTCTTAAAGGAATCAACAGGAAGTACAAAAGATAGTACCTAAAGGACAGTTAAAAAGATATATTCACTAACAGTATTAGAGTGATCGAATGAGGTCCAATATGTTGCAGAACATGTTGTAACCAGTGGGACTTTAAATAAATACATAAGAAGCTAAACCAGGAAAACTGGACACTACGACCAAAACTGATTCTGTAGCTAAAGATAGATAATCACACAAACACACACACACACACACCAGCGAAGAGGCGGGGCCAGGAGCTTGGACTCGACCCCTGCAACCTCAACTAGGTGAGTACAATTAGGTGAGTACACACACACACACACACACACACAGTTGGAAGCTGAAGACTAAGATGAACCACAGGGATGTTACGAAGTATTTCTTCAGTCATAGAGTTGTCAGGAAGCGGAATAGCCTGGGAAGTGATGTAGTGGAGACAGGATCCATACATAGCTTTAAGAAGAGGTTTGATAAAGCTCACGGAGCGGAAAGAGTGACCGGGTAGCGGCCAGTTAAAGAGGCGAGGCTAGGAGCTATGATTCGACCCCCGCAACTACAACTAGGCGAGTATACACACACACACACACACACACACACACACACACACACACGCACAAACCTGATACCCCCACACACACTGAAACGACACCCGATAGCGCGCGCACACACACACACACACACACACCACACACACACACACACACACACACACACACACACCACACACACACACACACCTGACACCAAACACACCTGGCACCAAACACCTGATACCACATATACACTGATACCACATACACACCTGACCCCACACACCTGATACCACACACACCTGATATCACATACACACAGGCCTAGTGTCTAATCGACATGTGCCTAGGGACAAAATGGTAACACACACACACACACAACACTCACACACACACACACACACACACACACAACATACACACACATACATATACACACATACACATACACATACACACACACACATATATATGCACACATACACTCACATATATACACACACACACACACACATAAAACACACCACACACATACACACACACACACATACACACATATATACACACATACACACACACACACACACACACACACCCCACACACACACACACACACACACACACACCTACACCTACACACACCTACATACACACAACAGGCCTAGTGTCTAATCGACATGTGCCTAGGACAAAAAGGTAACTAACACACATATATATACACACATACACACACACACACACACACACACACCACACACACACATACACACACACACACACACACACACACACACACACACACACACACACCTATACACCTATAACAGGCCTAGTGTCTAATGGACATGTGCCTAGGACAAAATGGTAACTAACACACACACACACAATGGGACCGGACATCTCCCCGTGGGTCCTTAAAGAGGGAGCGGGTATGCTGTGTGTGCCACTAACCACAATCTTCAACACATCCCTTGAAACTGGGCAACTACCTGAAGTACGGAAGACGGCAAATGTAGTTTCCATTTTTAAAACAAGGAGACAGAAAAGAGGCACTAAAATATAGACCTGTGTCACTGACGAATATAGTATGCAAAGTCATGGAGAAGATTATCAGGAGGAGAGTGGTGGAACACCTGGAACGGAACAAGAGTACACCGTATAAACGGCAACCAGCACGGATTTATGGAAGGCAAATCCTGTGTCACAAACCTTCTTGGGAGTTTTATGATAAAGTAACAGAAGTAAGACACGAGAGAGAGGGGTGAGTTGATTGCATCTTCTTGGACTGCAAGAAGGCCTTTGACACAGTTCCTCACAAGAGATTAGTGCAGAAGCTAGAGGATCAGGCGCATATAACAGGAAGGGCACTGCAATGGATCAGAGAATAGGGAAGACCGGGGCTAGTTGGCACACTTTTCACATTTTCGGTGATTAAAGAAAAACAACAAACGATTTTGGTAATTTTATACTTCCAGTGAAAAATATAAATCTTCGTCTTACTTTTCATTAAATGAAAAAAATTATTTTCTTTCAAAACAAAAGCACAGCATTCTTTAGAAAAAACATTTGACGTGTTCCAACATGCCCCATGTACGTGGTAAGTTGGCACACACTATGAGGTAAGTTGGTACAACAAATAGAAATAGTAAATTAGGAATATGTAAGAGTAAATTTAGATACTGATTATTCATAATGTTTCATTTCAAGTATATTCAGTTCCATAGAAACTTAAAAATCTTTTCTTAGTAAAGAAAGAAACCTTTTTTAATAAAATAAAGTTAAAAACTGACTAGGTGTTATACATTCAATTGAAAATAATTACACTTCCAGATAATAATTGCACAGACTACTTAATACCTGAGGTGAGCTTAATCTAAATCATTATCTGAGTCACAGCTGGGGCATGTATAAAACAATTATTCATTAGTGCAGGCTTCGTGGGCCCACAACTTGCACATTCTACACTGTATCCATACTTCTTCGTGGTTTGCTTTTGGAAAAAGGACCCATACATACCAAACAGAGACTGTCCTCTTCATCTGAACTTTCCTCGTCACCATGAACACGTTTTGATTTCTTTGATTGTTTCTTCTGTGCTTCTTTTGACATCTTTCCAGTGTCTTTTTCACTGGCGTGTCAGTCAAAATGACAGAGGAGCGTTTCCTCCTTTTCATTCCACTTCTCTTCCTGGGACCAGTTTTATGCAATGACCTCAGATCTTCGGGAGATGGGGCTTTCTTCCCACAGAATCCAGAAGTAGACGGTCTTGGTTCATTCTCATCTTGAAGATGAGAAACATTCTGAACTGAACAAGATTTTGACTGGACTGTTGTGATCAGACTTTGTGGCGTGTCACTGAGTTATCACTTAAATTTGTCGCAGGCTGAAACACTTGCATTTCTTGTTGATCTTCCTGTGGTCTGTCAGTCAGTCACGTAAGCACACAAAAAAATCAGAACCCTGGAATATGTCTCTGTTGAAGGGTAAAATTCCAGTAGTCCTAAACCCAGCCAAAATATTAGCTGGCGTCACAGCAAGTGAGAAAGCGATGGATACTACGTTTGGAATGTCATAGATGGTCATAGTTGATCCAGGGTGTGTAGTCATCCAGGAGCCACATGCTCTGTTGACAAATTTTTTCAGAGGTCCGTAGAAACTAACATCAAGTGGCTGCAGCCTGTATGAGCAGTGTGGTGGTTTCCCGTTTGTAGCTTCGAACCATTTCTGAAAAAGACAACATAAATATTGTACATGAAAGTAAATATATCAAAAATAATGAATCAGAAATATAATGTAGCCTAACTCAAATATAATCTAAATATGTAAATTATGTAAATAGTAATGTGGGGCAAGTTGACACTGTGCCAATTTGCCCCATTTTTGTTGAGCCAACTTGCCCCAACCATATCAATGTTCATAAATAAATGACTTTAGTATATATTAATGAACTTAATATAAACTGTTTCATGGGCAAACAATCCTTAAAGCCTAAGTTAAATTATGGCTAAATTGGATATTTCTCATCTCTAACCCAATACATGTTACAGCAAACAATATAAGCGAATGATAATTTACTTACCGGCATCAAAATCAAATTTTTCCCCACTGCAGTTAAGTACTTCAACCTCTTGGTATGGTAGCTTGTTGGTGAGTGAGGAAGCACCTGGTGATCCTATGATATAAATAACAACGCCGTCTAGCGGTAAATATTTTAATTATTACAAGTGTGTCAACTTACCCCTGTTACCAACTAGCCCCGGTCTCCTACCTGACAGGGAGGCAACAACGAGTCATGGTACGTGATGAGGTATCACAGTGGGCACCTGTGACGAGCGGGGTCCCATAGGGGTCGGTCCTAGGACCAGTGCTATTTTTGGTATATGTGAATGACATGATGCAAAGGATAGACTCAGAAGTGTCCCTGTTCGCAGATGATGTGAAGTTAAAGAGGAGAATTAAATCAGATGAGGATAAGGCAGGACTTCAAAGAGACCTGGACAGGCTGGACACGTAGTCCAGCAACTGGCTTCTCGAACTTAACCCCGCCAAATGCAAAATCATGAAGATCGGGAAAGGAAACAGAAGACCGCAGACAGAGTATAGGCTAAGTGGCCAAAGACTGTAAACCTCGCTCAAAGAGAAAGATCTTGGGGTGAGTATAACACCGAGCACGTCTCCGGAAGCACACATCAACCAGATAGCTGCTGCAGCACATGGGAGCCTGGCAAACCTGAGAACAGCGTTCCGATACCTTAGTAAGGAATCGTTCAAGACACTGTACACCGTGTATGTCAGGCCCATACTGGAGTATGTAGCACCTGTTTGGAACCCACACTTGATCAAGAACGTCAAGAAATTAGAGAAAGTGCAAAGGTTTGCGACAAGGTTAGTTCCAGAGTTAAGGGGAATGTTCTACGAAGAAAGGTTAAGGGAAATCAGCCTGACGACACTGGAGGACAGGAGGGTTAGGGGAGACATGATAACGACATACAAAATACTGCGTGGAATAGACAAGGTGGACAGAGACAGGATGTTCCAGAGAGGTGACACAGAAAAAAAAGGGTCACAATTGGAAGTTGAAGACAAAGGGATGTTAGGAAGTATTTCTTCAGTCATAGAGTAATCAGGAAGTGGAATAGTCTAGCAAGTGATGTAGTGGAGGCAGGAACCATACACAGCTTGAAGATGAGGTATGATAAAGCTCATGGAGCAGAGAGAGAGAGGACCTAGTAGCGTTCAGTGAAGAGGCGGGGCCAGGAGCTGA